AGGGTCAGAAGGGATTTGATAATATAGATCCATCAAAGTTTTTCTTGTTTAGCAGTGAAAACAATAGGACAAGGGGTCATAAACTCAAATTTTGGCAGCATATGAGTCGTCTGCAGTTTAGACAGTATTACTTTTCAAACAGGGTGGTTGGCTTTTGGAATGAAAATTGAACTGAGTTTAAGAAAAGATTGGTTGAATACATGAGTAGCAAGGGGTGGTTATAGTTGGGAGCTGGAAGGGACATCCTCAATGGGCTAACAAGCTCCTTTTTGCCCCTTAAGAATTTTATGAATATTTTTATTAAACCTATGCCAGAGAATTATTAAGATGTATGCCTCAGATTTTAGAAAAAGTGACTCCCACAAACTGCAGAAAGCTTTGGGAAAGAAAGATTTAGTTTAGTGAATGGGACAAACTCAATGGATTAACAGGTCCATTGTTGTCTTTAAATGTTACATTATGAATTGTGAGACTGTTCATGAAAATTGAGATACTTTTTATTAACAGCAATAAAGGGATGCATTCTTACAAAATGTTTGCATTTGAGCATAAAATATTTTCCTTAGCCCATTGACTGCAGCTGCTCTAAACGCACACAGAAGTTTCGGAAGCCGTACATGGCACATTCGAATTCAACTGCCAGAGGCAAACTGCACCCTATACGGGAAATCAGATGTCAACTGGTTAATAAATGGAGGAATTAAACATCTCATAAAGAGAAACTTCTCGGCTTATAAAAATCAAGAGTTTCGTTAGCAAAATTGAAGATGCTGAGGTTACAGAGATGAACAAAAAGAAGTCAAAAGTTATTATAATTGGATGTTTCTTGTGCCAAAACAACAAATTTGACTTGAAAAGTTTTAACATCAACTATAAAAAAAGGGATAAGGAGAACAACTGTGTCCTTTAAGAGATTTTACAAGGAAAAAACATGGCTAAAGTCTTTAAAGATTTTTTATAAGAGTTGTTATGGATGAAGGTGTGATGTTCCACAAGTTGTTTACATCTTTGATATGACTAGATCACACTAATATACACACACAGACACATAATATTACACTACTTTGACAACTACAAGCACATTCATTACATTCTTTACAATAATATTATATTCATGGTTGTGCAATTTGATGCTGTCGATACAACTTCACATGTCACAAGGCTTAACTGATTCATAATCTGTAGGAACTACAAGTCTAGATGAATCTGGGTAATAAAGACAAGGGTAAAAATGACAATGGAAAAAAGTCAATTGGAAAAAAAGACAAAGAATAAAAAAGTCAAACATATTTTGGAAAACAGTATAAATAACAGCTAAGCCAATTACAGAAACCATGTAAACCAACCGAGTTAAAAATTAACCTGTTATTAATACAGTTTTCTAATTAATGGCTTCCTAATTATTGTTCAACACTTGCTATGAAACCCTATAAGCTTCCTATTATTGTTCAACACATGTTATTAAACCATATAGGCTTCCCATTATTGTTCAACACATGCTATGATGAACAATAATGGGAAGTTATAGGGTGGGAAGATTATAGGGTTTAATAGCATGTGTTACGTTTTGGCACAACGTTCAATGGTAATAAATACAACAGAAAGAAAGACAAAGAAAATTACAAAAACAAGTAAAAAAGTCCTATATTTTAGGAATGGTATAAAATGATGAATTCCAAAATAAGCATGTTGAAATATATTTAGATGTACAGAGCAAACAAATTATAAAAAGGGTAAACAGTAGGGTTTAATAGCATGTGTTGAATGATAATGGGAAGCTTATAGGGTTTATTTAATAGCATGTGTTGAACAATAATGGGAATAATATAGGGTTTAATAGCATGTGTTGAACAATAATCATGAATATCCTATTCACTCTAACACTACAGTCTGAATTTGTGGTACACAAGAGAAATTACTGGCCACTGAAAGATTACCAGTGTGATTCTTAAATTTTTAAATGAAAATAACTACAGAGCATCCAGGAAACCACATCCTGTAGGTCTATGAGTCTGACTTCTACCATTACCAAGGTTTTGTTGTCATGTTATTTAGAAACTTTCAATAGCTTTTGTTTGTTTGTTTTATTGCACAAAGTTACTCAAGGGCTATCTGCTCTGTCCCTAATTTAGAAGTGATAGACTAGACAGAAGGCAACTAGTCAACATCGCCAACTGCAAACTCTTGGACTACTCTCTTACCAACGGCAAGTGGGATTGACTGTTACATTATAACACTCCCACAACTGAAAGGGCAAATATGTTCAGTGGCAGAATTTGAACTCACGAGCCATTGATTGCAAATCATGCACCCTAATCAACATTTTCAAAAGCTAGCATTTAATTAATGATTTTATTAGAGAGATCTTCTAACTTAACCAATTTGTTTGACTTTTTGATATAGCCTTCACTTCATTTTTGGATAAAGTCCCCTGGTTGATGTTGTATATCTTCACTTTCAGAAACCCTTTGATAGCAAGCCTCACGAGATGGACTAGTAAGTTGCATACTTTGAGATTAGAATAAAAGTCAAGAATTGAATAGAAAATTGGCTTAGTAGCTGAAGCCAATAAGTGATGGCTGAGAAATAGTTTGACATTCTGTAAAGAGGTTACTGCTTATGTAGATGTAGGTAAGAGTGTGGATTTGGCATATCTGGATTTTCAGAGACCTTTTGACAATTTGCCACATAAAAGGCTTGTTAACAAATTAGCTCTATAGGTGTGGGGGATAAGTTGGCTCACTGGATAGAAAAGCTTCAGTTAAGAAAGCAGAAAGTTGTTATAAATGGAGTTATATCAAACTAGATTAATGTCACAAGTGGGGTACCTCAGGACCTTTGCTCTTTTTGATATTCATCAATGACACAGATGAAGGAATGGTCAATAAATTACTTAAATTTGCTGATTATATTAAGGTCTTGGGTTTTGCTGGCTCTGAGAAGGATGCTGCTTTAAAAATGATTTAGATCATTTGATGAATTGGGTGAATAAATGGGAGATGGGTTTTAATTATAATATATGCAAGCTAGTGCATGCGAGTTATACTGTGAATTGTAAATATAATCTTGATGGTTCCCTTGGTCGTAAGAACATAAGGACAGTTTATGATAATGATTAGTGGCTTAAACCATTTAAATGATTGTATGAGAAGAAACTTCAGATTTTGGGATCCTTTCATATGGAGTGCAGAAGAGTTAAGAGGTACTTAATTCAAGTATTCCAAACTGTTAAAGTATTGGACAGTTTTTCAGGCAGCCAAAAAATTTAGAAGGACCCAAATACCCAATAATGTTTGTTGCCAATATTCATACCCTAATATATGTGTGTATATATACATATGGTTTGTTACTAAATGAATTGTGGGTGAGGAAATTACAAAATGTAGGAAAACAAACAAAGTGAATCACTTTTAAGTTTATTGATGTTAATAATGTATTCATCAATAAAGTTATTTGAATTTAGTGTTATACATTTATTTTATTCTACCCCAATATATATGTATATACAGCTAAACATTTATAAAAGTTGCATGTTTTAATGCAAAGTGACAGATAGTAAAATAACAATAGTCACCACAGTAATTCAAAATATTATTCCATACATGTTTATATATGCGTGTACTGTACACATAATAATACACAATACATGTAGCACAACAACTTACAGTATGTGTACACAATAGTTATAGTAATGGTAATACAATTTACAGTATGTATAAACAGTAGTAATAGTAATACAACTTACAGTATGTGTAAACAATATTTATAGTAATAGTAATACAACTTACAGTATGTGTAAACTACTTATAGTAATAGTAATACAACTTACAGTATGTATAAACAGTAGTAATAGTAATACCACTTACAGTATGTATAAACAATACTTATAGCAATAGTAATACAACTTACAGTATGTGTAAACAATACTTATAGTAACAGTAATACATATTACAGTATGTGTAAACAATACTTATAGCAATAGTAATACAACTTACAGTATGTGTAAACTACTTATAGTAATAGTAATACAACTTACAGTATGTGTAAACTAGTAATAGTAATACAACTTACAGTATGTGTAAACTAGTAATAGTAATACAACTTACAGTATGTATAAACAATACTTATAGTAATAGTAATACAACTTACAGTATGTGTAAACAATAGTTATAGTAATAGTAATACAATTTACAGTATGTATAAACAGTAGTAATAGTAATACCACTTACAGTATGTATAAACAATACTTATAGCAATAGTAATACAACTTACAGTATGTGTAAACAATACTTATAATAACAGTAATACAACTTACAGTATGTATAAACAGTAGTAATAGTAATACCACTTACAGTATGTATAAACAGTAGTAATAGTAATACCACTTACAGTATGTGTAAACAATATGCATAGTAAAAACACTGTACAAGGGACAAGTGAATAACTATCTCTATCAATAATCAATAACAATGTGATTCCAGAACCTAACATTAATAACATCTAACTTGATTAACTTCACTCATTCTGACTCAACCAACAGCATCATCAAATCACTAGGACACTGCTCTGCTGTTGACAACTTCAACACAGGGAAGAAGCATTTGAAAGAACCAGATATGACTGACAGAAGTAGAATCAAGTGATAAAAAGGGTTAAGTTTGTATGCATTTCTGTGAGACCCTCCTTAATCATATGCTAGTGAATCTGATGAACTTATTTCAGTTTGAGAAGCTGGACAACTTTTGCAACTGACTAAGCAAACAGCTTGTATCCAGAAACCAATAGTTGACAGTTGATGTAAGTTACAAAGAAGACAACCACTGCTTGAAACACAGGAATTTTCTCTGCATTTGGAGACTCCAAACAATCAATGAACTTCAAGAGCATTCAGCATCAAGTCTAATACTTCATTAACAATCTGATAATGATCTTCAGTAGTTAATATATGACTCAAGTTTTAAATATGGATTCTTTGTACAGGAAATCCTTCTAGCACAAAGTTTGGAATCAAATCAATACTTCCTGCTGTTCTTTTAGTTGTTGCAAAACTCTAGTCAAAAATTTCCTCGTTTACTGTGTTTTCAAGTTTTGAAATTAACTTGAAGTGGGTCCAAAACATTTAGGTGGCTTGGTCCCCAGGCCTGACACCATTATAGTTATACACTGATCTATCAAAAATATAAAAAGTGGGCTTTGAACATCTTATTCATGACCCCTTTTAAATCCCTGGGGGAAAAAATGTCTGATCCTGGTACTATTGTCTATTTTGAAGCCCTTAATCTTTTTTTTACCATCAAGGGTTTAAAATAATTAATATATACGATTCACGTCAATCCTAATATTTCCCATAGTTCTGCAGGGTCAGGAATACTGTTAACACATTCTCTTAAAAACAGAAGAAAATAAAACATTTATAGCTCAGCCACCTCATAGCTTTCATAAAAACCTTGCCATCAGCATCCTTCTTGGACCCAATCTCCATCCCACTAGTAATGAGTAGTACGAGTGATACAGATGCTGTAAATATTATAATACTGATGTTGCTGTTGGTCCATAGTCATAAAGTGTTTACTTTAAAATATACATTTTATAAATCGGAAATAGACAAAATATTGCTTATGGAATTGAAAGAATATAAGGTACTCACGAAACCAAAATAAATGTTCGCAATTATAAATAAAATAGCTTTCAAAAAATGTATTTCACATATTAAATTTCATGCAGACAAGACACGCGTTTACTTCGTACGCAACAGAAGAAAGAGCTATCGCTACCTGGTGAGAACTAAAAATAAAACAAAATTGTAATTCCTGGAATTTTCACCCATAAAGCACACGTTCCATCCCATTCTTCTTCTTTTTTTCTTCTAATATACCCATTATTAGCCAGTTTTATGGATTTGTAGTGTTCATTTTTCCACTGAGATTTATTAGTCTATTTTTTTCATTGTTTTTTTTGTTTTTGTAAAAACTGTTTTAATTATACGTATCTCTGTTGATATGTGATACACTTGCTGAAAACCATTGACCTACCGTCACATCTGATAGCTATAACCAAAATATGTTTTTTAAAATTATTATCTTTTTTTCTCAGAATTTTCGACTTCTAAATATACTCCTCTGATAACATAACATTATCTTTAAAGCACAATATCGTGACTGTTCCTTTCATTTCATCAAACACCTAACTGCTTATGTCCATCACTGAAATTTAAGTATTTAAAAAAAACCTTCTATTGAACTCTGCGAATCCTATTGCGTCCAACACGTCTGAAAGCAGTCTATTCCCTGTTCGAAAAATAAATTTACCTAATTTGCAGACGACTTCTACCCTACCAAATTTTTAATTTATGGCACAGTAGGTGCCGTCCACTGGACAAAGAAATCAAATTAAGATTCTAGATCCAGGCGTGCTTTCTTTATTCAATTGTACTTGAGTTTCATCGTGACTAGTTCGGCAGAGATAAATCTTAAGAAACATACAGCTGGCAAGTTATTCACCGATCTAGTAGAGACGATCGTCCACTTGTAAACACAGGAACACACACTGTTTTTTATGTTGTATCCAAGTAAAAATTGGTTTGCAGTCATTTAAATGGGACCAATCTGATTATTTCTCATGCAGCTTAAAATTCAGTCACGTTATCTACTACAGAACACTCTCCTCATTTCTTGGTCGCGTCTGTTGTTCTCTGAGGGTTTGTCTGGCTGATTCTTTTTGGAAAATTAGTTTCACCTGAAAATACCACAAGAAAAATTTTAACCCCTCCATCCCAGGAATCATCCTAATAGATGTCCTTAAAAGTCTTTCGAACAACGCAATGGCCTTCTTAAGGTAAGGAGCCAAATACCACATACACTAATACGACAGGGAGATTTTCTTAGTGTTCATTGTTCCAAAGGAAGCCCTGGAAAAGGTAATGTGTTTCATATATATATAGATATGTGTGTGTTAATGCTACAAAACTTTAAAATATGAATACACACCCATTCGCAATTCATTTTTTAAAAAATGGCTGCACCATTATAAACACAGTGCACGACGGTGTGTGACTGTAAAAAGCAAAAAATATTATAACCTACCGTGCTTTAACTGTATGATCCCATCTATTGTTCGTATAACTAGACTATTTTTTTATCATCATGTGGTCACTATGTCCTCATTTCATAATATTGTTTCATAATTGCCCATTGAGTGTACTACAAATTCGGATGAATATAGTACCGTGTCTGCGAGATTATTTTTTAACTGTTCTGGAGGGAGGAGAAATTGGTCCACCAGCCTAAAATATAGAACTGTTGGAACTGAATACGTTTATAAAGAAATAAGTTTTATCATGGCGTGGATATTCTTAATCAGCGTTTAATACGGATGGTACTGTTAACCTAAGAGGCCTGTTTCGGGGCAGGCATAATACTGCTAAAAAATGCTATAGCTGCTATCCCCCAGTTATTTAAACTTTTAAAAGGCCCGTTACGCAGTATATAGGCACACTAGGTGTTTTCTACACCCTCTGTACAAATCTAAAGTTCACATATAAATTTTCATGCATATAAACACATAGTTTAAACAAGAGAAGTTTGGTCAAGGAAGTGACTTAGTTCCTTTCGCCCTAGTCACATATTATTCTAGACTATTCTTGTAGGGCCTAAAGTATCGCATACGCCTTCTTATGGAAAAGATTTTTGTATAGTTGAACACATTATGTGAAAGTAGACAGCAATCGTTTTAACTGGAAAGTCAGGTGATACTTTGAGATAGAATCTTCCTTATTTTTCAATCAGAATAACCGATACTGAGGTAGGTAATGCACGTATCTTAAGTGAAAATAGCAGTATTAATGTTCTAGCTGTGTATTGAATGTTCTGTTTTCCTAGTCTGGGAGAATATTTTTTACAGAGATTTGCAGATTTACAGCATTTTTTCACAGATATCTCTGGAAGCTTTATTAAAGGCACCATTCTTAGTGTATGTGCTCATTTGGATTGTGTCTTGCATTCAACAAAGACTGCTCCACTCTGTTTTACATTGTGTTTAGTTTTTTATTGGACTTACAACGCTAGAAACCGGGTTTCGATACCGTGGTGGGCAGAGAACAGATAGCCCATTGTGTAGCTTTGTGCATAAATTCAAACAAACAAACAGTCAAAATTAGGAGAATTCAATTTAATTCTGCATAATATTTTCTGCTCTAATCTCTTGTTATTTTTACGAACCCTCCCTGAACTCACATGCTCAAGCTTTAAAATGACGTTTGGTTTCACCAATATAGGATGCCATACAGTCTCCGCACGTGTATAAGTAGACGAGATGTGAACAATGAACAGTCGGCAAACGATCTATGTAGCGGAAAAATTGTTTAGACAGAAACTTCTTTTAGCTATTTCACTTGTACCTCAGTTTTTATTTTCTCGTGTTATAATTGTATATTCAAATTGTATACTTTTTATGTATATATTTCTGTTGTAATTACAAATATTGTTTGTTTGTTTAGTACCTCTAGATTACTGATGATGGAATTATGATGATTCCGAAACGTTTAATAAATGCTTCCTATTATCACGTTAGTGTTTTGCTTTATCGTTAAGCTACTTCACCAAATGCCAACTTCCAAATTCACACACACAAAATCAAAACCATACTTAATGCTGGATTATAAAAAAAAAAAGAATTATAAGAGTCAAACAGGGTTTTACTCATTTAACATTAGAGTTCCATAACCATACCTATATGTATATCAAACCTTGATTTTTAAATATAAATATTTATGCGTTTGAAACCAATATACTTTTGTGGAAAATTTGCTAGTTGTTTATTAAATTTCACGTTCACTCAGATTACTAAATAAATTTCCATTCAGATTAAGATAATTGGGAATTTCTTCACATATTAAAATTTGTTTTATATATTTTCTAGGTTATCATAAATCGTTTGAACGTCAGGTGAAGTGTTCAAATGTTACACGGAAATGCTGTTGTATCTTGCAAGTTGCATCAGTCGGAACATAGCGTGTCATGAAAGATTTTTTAAAAAATCTCACACTATTCAATTTTATTTGTTTAATAAACGTGTAGGTAATATTCAAGGAACAACGAAATGCCAACTGTTGGTGTAAATCGGGATCTTCTTTTCTCTGCTTTGGAATGTACATACAGTACGTAATGAATGTAACTGGAAAGTAATGTATAACTATATAAGTTATATTATTGATATAAATTATAAGTTACAACTTATTTTTAACTTTTAAGTTACAACTTTAAAATTTCTCTTAAGTTAACTTTTAGTTTTAAGTACTTATTAATTGTAATATTATTATTACCTATTTATCATGGACAGTGGCTATCATACTGTACTACCAGTACTAATCTGGAAGTTCACATATGCAGACTTTCCAACTGTCCATGTTTGTGTTGTAAGAGTATTACTAAAGCAAACTCAAAAATAGTGTTATATATATATATATGATTGAGGAAAATAGATATTACCCCCCTCCTCATCCATTGTTGTCGGTCCCCCTCTAAAGTCTTAATTAATTTCTAAATGTTGGCAACCGTGCACGTGTGTGTTAATGTTAAACTTAAAGTTACAGACATTAGTAGTAACACAAAAGTGATATTCTAACTAAAGTATTAGAGAACTAGATATACTGATACTAGTATAACTATTATCACACATTAGTGTAATAGTGACAAACTAAGGATATTACTTTAAACAAGTAGAAATATCCAATATTTAGACTGAGGGATCCGAGTTACCTTTATGTTTTATTATTATAACATTTTTAAGTTCAAACTTTACTAAAATGAGCAAAGAGTTGGGTTTGTGCTTTACATTGTGCAAAAATAACACCCAATCTTTCTCACGTTTGCATTTTCATTGGGCTAAGTACAATTCTCTACCAACCTTCATAAAACTAAAAGGATCAATATGAGGGATCAATAGGATAAAGGCCTTCCTTTATGCTATATTCTTAACACAGTGGGACATGAGTTTATGATTTGGGAAAGACAGGGTGGGCTTCATTAAGATAGTTTTACTATAACAGTGTGTTGCTTTCAGAATGAGTTATAATAGGCAGTAATGGAGGCTGGTACTTAAACAATAGTTTGAGAATGGAGTTAATGATTTTTTTTTAAAATGAAGGATGGGTTTAAAAATAAATTTGAAGGCTAATATATCATTTGATTTACTACTTGTCACTGAGTTATATTGGTGTTGAAGAATTCTACCCCTCATCATGGTGAACCTTTATTTCCATTACTTGTATAGCATCGATGTTACTAATTTCTTCTTCTAAATTATTCAACAGACAAACTGTTTAGGATGCTAATAACTAGTATGATGCCCAGTCTATCATGTGATTCGTCACTTGTCATAGAGTGTGATATTTTAGTACTAGTGTACTGATGGTTCTTCCCGTTTGGCCATGTCTGCAATATTTCAACTTTATAAAGACACATAGTGAATTCCTGGGAACTCTTTATTAACACGTAAGACACATTACAAAGAACAATTCATGTACACTGGGCAAGTGATGTTAATGTGCTGAATGACATTCATGTACACTGGACAAGTGATGTTAATGTGCTGAGTGACATTCATGTACACTGGACAAGTGATGTTAATGTGCTGAGTGACATTCATGTACACTGGGCAAGTGATGTTAATGTGCTGAGTGACATTCATGTATACTGGATAAGTGATGTTAATGTGCTGAGTGACATTCATGTACACTGGGCAAGCGATGTTAATGTGCTGAGTGACTTTCATGTATACTGGACAAGTGATGTTAATGTGCTGAGTGACATTCATGTATACTGGGCAAGTGATGTTAATGTGCTGAGTGACATTCATGTTCACTGGGCAAGTGATGTTAATGTGCTGAGTGACATTCATGTACACTGGACAAGTGATGTTAATGGGCCCAGTGTACGTGAATGTCACTCAATACATTAACATCACTTGTCCAGTGTACATGTATGTCACTCAATACATTAACATCACTTGTCCAGTGTACATGTATGTCACTCAACACATTAACATCACTTGTCCAGTATACATGAATGTCACTCAGCACATTAACATCACTTGTCCAGTGTACATGTATGTCACTCAACACATTAACATCACTTGTCCAGTGTACATGTATGTCACTCAACAAAGTGATGTTAATGTGCTGAGTGACATTCATGTACACTGGACAAGTGATGTTAATGTGCTGAGTGACATTCTTGTACACTGGACAAGTGATGTTAATGTACTGAGTGACAAAAACAGTCACATTACTAGGCATTCATTCATTATGTACATATGTTAACCACTTTTAAACATTGATCTCAGGCACCAGTAGATTGTAAGCTACATAGTAAAGCCTGTATACACGGTACAAACTAGAAACTACTAACTCCTTCCCTAACGTAGGTGTTAAGTATTTATATCCTGCAGCTGTGTGTTGCACATTGTGACAATAATGTACTTAACCATGAGTTGCAAGCCAACAATAATCTCTTTATATATCCAATATTTCATAACTGAGTTATATCGTAGTTAGGCTTAGATAAGTATAAACTTGTAAGCTACAATTAACATAATTTATGTTAATACAATAAGTGTGTAATGATATGATAATGTATGTAATGATTGTGCCAACAGATGCCTGCACTTGAAGGAAGAAATAATGCTAACTTAATTTTTCACAGTTATGCCAATTGTGGGGAATTTCACCTGTCGTAACATACAAGAACAATAAGGAGACTGTAGGTCCATTATGGCTGACTCATCCACAAAACTAAACTAAGAAAAAATCCAACTCTTATTGTTTAAATATTTATCAAACTGTCCCTTTAACTCCCTAATCAGTTATTTTCATGTGAGACTTGGATAGCTGGAATATTCAAAAATTGAAATAATAATTTTGATTAGTTAATTATTTATGAGTTATGACACTAATCGATTAGGCTGAAAAATCTTGAATTAATCAAAATTAATAATGAGAAATAATAATAATGGCAATATTTTAATTTATACGATGGTTATAATAATCAAAAATGGTAATAATTGGGAATGCTTAGTTTATTTTGTTATTTTTTGACATTAGGTGATTTAATGGTAATTTTGAGTAACCAATTATTTCATGACACTAATCAATTTAATCAGTCATAATTGATGAATTAAGTTAATTGCCCAGCTCTAGTGCTGGTAAAACACTCATCAATGTCTTCAGTTTTTTTGTTTTTTTTTCATGGGTAAAAGATGGTCAAAGTTCTCCAAGAAATCATCAGCTTTCTTTGTTTAGTCCAAATCTTTGCTTAACTGTCTTTTTCAGATTTTTTTTAACTTGTAATTAAATGAATAATAGTGGGCCAGGCATGGCCTAATAGTTAGTATACCTAGACTGTGAATCTGAGGATTTATGGTTTTCACATCCTGTTGCCACAAATTTTCACTCTACACTTTGGGGTCATGGATGCGTTATAAGAGAGAGATGTTCATATATCACTATTTGATTAAGAGTAGCCAAAGAGTTGGTGGTATATGCTGTTAAATAGTTACTTTCATTAAAATCATAAATAATATTCAACGTTAACTGGTACACAATTAAAAACATTTTAATTGTGTACTAGTTTAACGTTGAATATTATTTATGATTTTAACTTTATACACAAGTACCAAAATACTATAGTTACTTTCATTGTTTCTCAGTTCAAAATTTGGGATGGCTAGCATGGATAACCCTTGTTTATTTTTACATGAAATTCTAGAACATACAAACATGTTGGTGCTACTATAGCATGTGGTCTACGAAGATATTTACACTACAGTATGTGCTCTACACAGATACCATCATCATCACCATTTTAACTTTCGTTTATTTGCAATTGGTGCCAAAGGCTGCCTAGAGGAGTCACCTGGTTTACCACTCCCACCACTGTATGGTAGTGTGTTGTCAGTCAGTCAGTCAGTAGACACTAAAATGATGTCATGCGAGATACACTTAATATTGCAACTTGTACTGTTGTGACATTATTAAAATGTGTGCATGCTATGAATCATGAGAAGAATTATGCACTATGTTGGCTACAACACAGCATGACATATGAACTTCAAAAGCAAGATGATGTTTGGTTTTATTTACTGTTGAAAAATAACATTTTTAGGGACCTTGTGGAAATGCATCTAGTAATACATGTATTTATATCATATCAAGAATTGGCTGCAAAAGCAACTTTGCAGGAAACAGGTTATTGAAGAACTTTCATACCTATAGTGATTAAATAGTAGTGCTACAGAAATGACTTTAAATGCTTTCTTCACCAAAGTAGCAAAAATTTCATAATTTTCAGCCTGGATGAATCACAACAGGGTTCTTGTTGTTCTTAGATGTTAAGTTAAAAGTACATTCTTTACAAGTCCCAATGGTAAAGTTATGTTATAAAGGTAGAACTGCTGTGTGAGAATGGTAAAGTTGTTAGGATAAAGATGTCTTGATGATGTTAAACGGGTTCCTGATGTTTTCTTTCTTCATACAAGTAACTTATCTTTGAAATATTTTATTTCATTTTATTAGCTGAAGATGAATTCAACAGTTTGTGTTTTGAATTTGGCCTTGAACTTGATGAAGTGGTAAGTTTCATGTATTCATAAATGTTCAGTTACCACCACAGACAAGACTTGAATAGTTTCATGTGTTCATAAATGTTCAGTTACTAGTACAGACAAGACTTGAATAGTTTCATGTGTTCATAAATGTTCAGTTGCTAGTACAGACAAGACTTGAATAGTTGCATGTATTCATAAATGTTCAGTTGCTAGTACAGACTAGACTTACATTTATGAACATATGAAACTATTCAAGTCTTGTCTGTACTAGCAACTGCACATTTATGAACACATGAAACTATTCAAGTCTTGTCTGTACTAGTAACTGCACATTTATGAACACATGAAACTGCAGTTACCACTACAGACAAGACTTGAATAGTTTCATATGTTCATAAATGTGCAGTTACTAGTACAGACAAACTTTCATCAGTCTGATAATGAGAGTATTTGTATTTTATTTTTTTAAAGACTACTGAAAAACAGATGATTTCTAAAGAACAAGGGGAGGAAAAATCTGAAGGAGCATCTGAAGATATCATTTATCGCATTGAAATTCCAGCCAACAGGTAAAGGTCCTTGTTTGTTACCAAACGTTCTTATTTCACACAAATTATTAGAAAATTCTTGTTCGTTAGGGGAATGTGACCATGTGAAACCTTGTATTAAAAAAAGGAAAAATGTCAGTTTGATTGTATTATATATGTATTTGTATCTGGCCCTTGTGCTTTAACTAAACTAGAACAAAATACTTAAAAAAAAATATGCTCTGTTGTCTATAGTTGAACTGGGAATGGCATGGGCAGTTGGTTAGGGGGCTCTTGACTCGCAATCTACAGGTCTTGGGTTCGAATCCCCATCCCACCAAACATGCTCGCCATGTTTGGTGGGATGGGGATTCAATTATACTTAAACATGGGAATAATACATGTGGCTGACATACATTATTAGGCCCGGCATGGCC